CGGGATGGGTGATGGGTGACGCATGTGAGCGCGGCCACTGGGGCCTTCGGTGGAGCTCCCTATGGGGCCACGAAGCGTGTGAGTGGTGTGCCGAATTGAGTGGGTGTGGGTGACGCATGTGAGCGCCGCCACTGGGGCCTCCGGTGGAGCTCCCTATGGGGCCACGAAACTTGTGAGGGGTGTGCCGAAGTGGGTGTGGGTGACGCATGCGCATGTGAGCGCCGCCACTGGGGCCTTCGGTGGAGCTCCCTATGGTGCCACGAAACGTGTGAGGGGTGTGCCGAAGTGGGTGTGCGGGACGCATGCGGCCGGCGGCACTGGGGCCTTCGGTGGAGCTCCCTATGGGGCCACGAAACTTGTGAGGGGTGTGCCGAATTGGGTGTGCGGGACGCATGCGACAGGCGGCACTGGGGCCTTCGGTGCAGCTCCCGATGGGGCCACGAAACGTGTGAGGGGGTTGCCGAAGCTGATGACGATGATGGTTTCGATGATGGCGATGATGATGGCGATGAGGATGAAGAGACGATGATGATGGCGATGACGATGATGAGGACGACGACGATCACGGTGACGATGATGATGATGATGATGATGATCATCATGATCATGATGATGATGATGATGACGATGATGATGATGATGATGATAATGATGATACTGATGATGATGGCGATGATGATGATGATGCTGATGATGATGATGCTAATGATGATGATGGTGATGACGATGATGATGATGCTGATGATGATGATGGTGATGATGAAGATGATGACGGTGGTGGTGATGATGATGATGCTGATGATGATGCTGATGATGATGATGATGATGATGATGATGATGATGATGATGATGATGATGATGATGATGATGATGATGATGATGATGATGATGATGATGATGATGATGGTGGTGGTGGTGGTGGTGGTGGTGGGAGGGAGGGAGGAGGGGGAAGAGGAGGAGGGGAGGAGACGCGGGGCGCTGTCTCTTCAAAACGAGGACCCAACACCACAGGACGGTTGGGAACAAAAAGAAAACTTTACCGCCACTCACCAGACCTCTCGCCCGGGGTGCGTTCTGCTGCGTATTTCGAGCCCGATTGATCCATGAGGACCCTGGGGTCCGAAAAAGAGCGGAATCGCCCCGTGCGGAAAAATTGCACCGCCTGGATCTCGGGGAAGACAAGGTAGCGGCATCTTGGGGGCGGCCCCAGGACACACAAAGAAATACACACAAATAAAATATGTCCCATCTTTTCCCATATTTTTGGGCTTTTTGTCTTCCCCCCCCACTTCCCATATTTTTGCATATTGTCCTGGGAGTCGATGTGTCTGTGCGCTTTTTTTCCCTCCTGGATCTTGGGGGCGGCCAGGGGGCCTGAACTGGATGGGCCCCGAGAAGACCTTGTCAAGAAGGAGAGCAACTCTGGTCAGAATCGGTCCCAGAACCCCTCCTGGGGTCAGCTGGTGTAGTTAGGGGGCCCGAACCCCACCCTCCCCCTCAGAAATCGTGGGGGGTAGGGGTAGGGTTCGCATGTGGTCCCCTAGTAGTTTTTCAGCCTGGATTCGCTTCTGGCGGTCCCGGGACTCGAAAACGCCCCCCAGGAGGCCGCGTAAGGCAAAAACCTGCTCGAACCCAACACCTCGAACACCGCCCCTCTGTCCTGCTGGCCCGAACCAGCGCTAAGTCGTCTCAGACCCCCCGCTGGCTCCAAGGTAGCGGCATCGTTACTTTTTCACGCTACTCGTAAGAAGTACCCGCGAGCCAAGAGACCCCAGCACATCCCCCGGCTGCCCTGGGATCGCTTTCTCCCCAGGGAGACGCAAGACTCGGGTTGGCCTGACGGGGCCGCCAAGAAGATGACGAGATCCAATCTGAAATTGACGCGAGCTTCCGCTGCAGAGATCCTACGTCCAGGAGGGCTAAAGATAGCACCAGGACGTCGACATCAAAACTCCAGTCGAGGCCTCAAGCAGCCCAGATAGGTCTATAGCAGTGCTATTTTTGTTGGCGCTCTGGAAGGTCAGGGTTCTTCTCTAGAGGCCTCCTGGATGGGGTCCGAGTAGTAGATGGGGCCCGAGGATTTCGCCGCATCGCCGATACATCGGCGTTGCATCGGCGATGCATCGGCGATGCATCCGCGCCATCGGCGTGGAAAAAATTGGGCTCCACATCGAGGCCCGCAATCGCCGATGCATCGGCGATGCGGCGGACGTGGCCACCAGAGAGGCCGCCAGAGGCCAGAGCTTCCTCCTGTAGACCCACATGCCCGACTTCAGTCTGGAGGCTCTGTTCTCCTCCCCCCCTTCGGTCCTCGGCGACGGCCCCACATCAACCTGGAACTGGCGACACATCGCCGACAGATCGGCGACAGGCCCCCGACAGCGAGCCCGCACGGTCCTGCGCGAGGCGGGGCTATCGGGCCTCTACCACTGCCTCTACTGGCGACGGAGGAGGAGGAGGAGGAGGAGGAGGAGGAGGGGAGGAGGAGGAGGAGGAGGAGGAGGAGGAGGGGGAGGAGGAGGAGGAGGAGGAGGGAGGGGAGGAGGAGGAGGAGGAGGAGGAGGAGGAGAGGAGGAGGAGGAGGAGGAGAGGAGGAGGAGAAGGAGAAGGAGGAGAAGGAGGAGAGGAGGAGGCGCGAGGAGGAGCAGGAGAAGGAGAGAAGGAGGAGGAGGAGGAGGCGGAGGAGGAGCAGGAGGAGGAGGAGGAGGAGGAGGAGGAGGAGGAGGAGGAGGAGGAGGAGGAGGAGGGAGGAAGTCGAGGGGGGCCGTCCTCGGCGCGGCCCGCGCCCACGACGGCCCGCTCGCCGCCCGGCGGCTGCCCGCCGCCGCGCCGCGCGGCTCCCGGGCCGCCCTCGCCGCCCACGGGCCCGTCCCGGGAGTCCCCCCGCCGCGGGGGCGGCCCGCGCCCGGCGGCGCCCGCGCGCGGAGACCGCGACGGCCGCGCCGGGCGGCCGTCCTGCAGCCCAAGAGAACCCCCCCTCGCGCTGGGGGTAAAGAAACGCGACGGGGAGAGCGTTTTTCCTATAGTTTCGGCATCCGGGGGCCCTTGCCGGGCCTCGGGAGCGTCAAAGAACGACTCGGGATGCAAAGCCGGGCTCGGGGAGAGGGGTCCAGACCTCTGGGGGTCGACATTTGCGCAAAAATCACAACGTCGGTGGTCTGGGAGGGGCCGAGGTCCTCCTCGAGCCGTGAAGATAAATCACGAGGAGCAGGTTTTCCCTGAGATCCTGGCGTCGCAATTTTTTCACCACGGGCGCTTTCGCCCGGCGTCGGGTCTCGGGACCGTCACAGACAGATGGGGTCCAGGGCTCCGGTCGCGATGTATTGCAATGCTGCAC